AGTTGTTTCAGGGATTTCAAATCATTTTATATAGTAGACAATGGAAGTCCGAACTAGTGAAATTCATCAAATAATATAGTCATGAAGAAATAAAAAATAGACGTTTTCGAGAAAGTTGATAATAGAAATATGGGCTTTTTATTGAGGGTTAAGTTGCAAAATTTCCAAGTTCTCACGCTTCATGTTCCCATACTGATGTGTACTATTTTTTTACTTCATCATCAAAATTACTAATCACTTTGTCATGTGATCTTTATTTCGTGCTTTTCTCTATATTTTTCACATTGTATTCTTTGTTGTTCGAGAGGTGGTAGACTACTGTAAATGTGTATTTGTGGCGTTTAATGTTTTTTTCTAATACTGCTTATAGGCTCAAAGTCCTACTTGCGATTGACTTTCTTCCTTGTTTCACTGTATCACTTTCACCAATCGCCACTTACATTTTTTTTAATTCTACTTCTTCTACTTAAATTCAACTGGTACTGTTGGCAAATAAGCCACATTCATGTTATACATTAATTCGCTTTCACCGCTTCACTCATTAACTATATTTTAACGGAATGATTCATTATCAATCATTAAGAACATTACGTTGCGTAATGAATTACAATTTTACCCTACCAGCTTCGAGCCGCCATTTACTTTTATGTGGGTTTGGTAATTGCAGTTGTTGGTCGAATTTTATTCTATTTTTTTCCACTAATAGTTCACGATGCAGGATAATGACAATTGGAATGTCCAATTTCTGATCACCTTACTCAATAGATAAAAAAAATACATATGGAGATATTTTGTGCGACGTATACAAAGAGAGATGGAACAGATTTCTGAAGAACTGTAAACACATATATATTTTAGGTATTTGATCCTCGCCAGTACATGAAACTTACACGCAATTGCGAATATATTGTATCGAGGTAAACAATAGGCCTATATTGCTGTCTGTAATGTTTTCATTTATCATATTACACGTTTTTTCTCACTCATTTTACAGTTATAAAATTGGTTTATTAACTTATAGCATGACTCACGACTCAACTTATAAGTTAACGTCTGACTCAAGACTATTTACTTCTGGCTGTTGCGCTACTGACAATGCGAAATATGACTTAAGTGGGCGGGGTCTTTTAACACAGAACAATTTTACGTTTCTGCGCTGACTCATTTTAGTTGGCGTCGANAATTCATTTCTCTTCTTTCTTATTTATAACTTTTCTTTTTCCAATTTTAACATTTCTTCTATTTTGAATTTTTCCATTTTGACCAAGCCGATGACTATTCAAGCCAATTCAATATGTTCATTTTTATCGGTTTTCACCTTCACTTTTCGCTGCACAAAATATAAATTTCAAATTTCCAACTAATAAGTCAGTTTAAATGACAATTTGACAATTGACATTTATCAACACAAATAAGCGTTCTAGCAGGACATGAATCCCAAACTATTTACAACCAGTCTCACGGCATACATGCGCAGTTGGCCAGTCCATAACACCAGCTTCAAACCATCCGAAATTTCTTGCTAGAACAAACCATTTCATAAAACAGAGAAGTCCACTGTTGCTCAACATGCCTTTGAGAAATGCTACAGAATAAAAGAGGAATGCTTGAAATTGTTGAGAACGGTACATGGCCAGTTTTTAGATGCTTTCAAAAGTTTAGGATAAATGTGAACGGTGATAAAGGTCCCATTCCTAATAAAAGCCCATTGTTCGCATTCTTACGTAAGTACAGGTAGAAAACAAGTGAAGATCAAGAAAACGATTCGTCCAGCGACATTTTTATTTATCATTTTACTTTTTATTGTTCATTTCACCCCGGAGGTTCCAAGTTCCCACGCTTCATGTTCCCATACTGATGTGTACTATTTTTTCATTTCATCATCAAAATTACTAATCACTTTGTCATGTGATCTTTATTTCGTGCTTTTCTCTATATTTTTCACATTGTATTCTTTGTTGTTCGAGAGGTGGTAGACTACTGTAAATGTGTATTTGTGGCGTTTAATGTTTTTTTCTAATACTGCTTATAGGCTCAAAGTCCTACTTGCGATTGACTTTCTTCCTTGTTTCACTGTATCACTTTCACCAATCGCCACTTACATTTTTTTTAATTCTACTTCTTCTACTTAAATTCAACTGGTACTGTTGGCAAATAAGCCACATTCATGTTATACATTAATTCGCTTTCACCGCTTCACTCATTAACTATATTTTAACGGAATGATTCATTATCAATCATTAAGAACATTACGTTGCGTAATGAATTACAATTTTACCCTACCAGCTTCGAGCCGCCATTTACTTTTATGTGGGTTTGGTAATTGCAGTTGTTGGTCGAATTTTATTCTATTTTTTTCCACTAATAGTTCACGATGCAGGATAATGACAATTGGAATGTCCAATTTCTGATCACCTTACTCAATAGATAAAAAAAATACATATGGAGATATTTTGTGCGACGTATACAAAGAGAGATGGAACAGATTTCTGAAGAACTGTAAACACATATATATTTTAGGTATTTGATCCTCGCCAGTACATGAAACTTACACGCAATTGCGAATATATTGTATCGAGGTAAACAATAGGCCTATATTGCTGTCTGTAATGTTTTCATTTATCATATTACACGTTTTTTCTCACTCATTTTACAGTTATAAAATTGGTTTATTAACTTATAGCATGACTCACGACTCAACTTATAAGTTAACGTCTGACTCAAGACTATTTACTTCTGGCTGTTGCGCTACTGACAATGCGAAATATGACTTAAGTGGGCGGGGTCTTTTAACACAGAACAATTTTACGTTTCTGCGCTGACTCATTTTAGTTGGCGTCGACTATACGTACATTTCTAACATTAGCAAATAACATCACAAATGTAAGAAAAGTACAGTTATGTGTCCAGCATATTTCTTTATCTTTGTGTTCCTTTTTATTTGGCAACTATACAAGATTTTCGTGTCTATTTTCTCCAAGAGGCCATTGTAATAAATTAAAAAATTGTCCTATGGAAACCCTTTTTTCACACCAGACGAAAAGTTCCGAATTTTTTTCGACACACATTTCGGTAACCAAGTTTCCCAAGAGATGCGTTTTAGTCATGCTAACTTTGCTAGCGAAATGTGCGTCTATCCTGTTGTGGCAAGTGTTTTCAATAGAAACATTTTACGCCAGATGTTACAATTTTACCTATCTTTAAATTATTCTTCAAATAAAATATAGCATTTGTATCAAACGGTGCAATAGTTTAAATCCATTTCTTTGTTGCAGGCACAATGTCGAGAAGTCCTGAAAAGCACAGATTTGAAGATTCCCAATACCAGTGTGAGGATTAAAACAGAAAGAGTAGAAAATGAAGAAATCGCCCAACAATCGTGCCATACGAAACCATATACAGTTCACCCTACAGTGACTGCATTGTACAGAAAATATCCAAAAATGCACCTTCCTTCTATAAGTTTACTGTCAAATGTCGATCCTTGTGTCTCTCTGGAATTGGATGCAGTTGAAAGTTATTTTCAAAGCAGGAACTTGAAAATGCAGAGATATGTTCAGTTAGCTCTTCGAGCAAGTGATAAATATATGCCAAAGAAAATATCCAATGTAGCGAAGTCACCAAGAAATAATTCATCCGAAATAGTTGCCAATACTGAGCAAGCCAATAGGATCAGCCCTATAAATATTAAGATTAAAAAAACAGGTTACACAATAGTCAGATCTCCGAAAGCTGACAAAGGTGATATTAATTTTGTGGTAAGTTCATCGACCCAAAATACAAACAATTCGGATTCAGTTGAAGAAGTTTCAACCGTTCATAAAAAAAAACACAAGAAAAGAAGACATTCGGGTGATACCTCGATAGAACCAAAACCAAAAAAATCTTTCTCGATAAATTCTTCTGACATGATTCTCTCGCAACCGCTAGTTCAAGAGGAATTGGCCACTGTTTGCAATGAAGAAACACCACAAGCGTTCGAGTGTGACATATGTAGTTCAAAGTTCTCCAGTGCTAAACATCTGCAAAACCATAAAGAACATCATTTACGTTGCATGTTTTGTAAATTGGAATTCAGGTCTGTTGAAATGAAACTGCAGCATATCGAAAATTCTTGTTTGGTCAAGGAGGCCATGAATAATTCACCTGACGTGGTAGTGGAAAGAGTTGATTCGGATTTGAATATTCGACAACAGTTTTCAAAAACATTCGAGTCAATAGCTTCACTCACTGATCTGAAGAAACCTGCTGAATCAGCTTCCGATGTAATTGAAATTCATTCAGATGATGAAGATTCGTCTGTATCAACATCCAAAAGTCAATGTGGAAAATTGGAAACAAACTCAATTAAAAATAATTCAGTTTCAGTGATAAAACCGGATGTCAAAATGAAAAATAGTAACGTAATGGACAGCTTCGATACAAAAACTCCAGAACTGAAAGTGGTGACAGAACTTTTGGCAAACTTCCTCACTCTTCAGTCAAACGGTGAAGTATCAACTCAAACAGAACTGCCAGCTACAGGCTCGATTGAAGTTGATAAGGAAAAGTTCTCCGTTGATTTGAAAAGTTTGCAACAACAGTTACACTATTATCAAATACCAATTGTCATTCGAAATGGATCAATAAATGCATCATATACTTATCAATCTACTCCCAAGAAGCCGAAAACAATGAAACTTTGGAAAGATCTGAATCCAATTGATGTCACATCTAGTAATGACGATCGAGTCTCAAATAGCGATCCCAAGATTGCAGAAACTCTTCCAAATCACTCTAGTGATGCCACTAATAATGTTAATAACGATCAGCTATCCTCCCACACTAGTGTTCATAGTTCAAAAAATGTTTCTGATGATACTTCTAAACGGCCTGAACTAATTTCTCGACGAAATTCTCTCGAAGTAACACCTCTTCCACAGACGGCCCCTCTAAATACAACTCCTCTTTCCCCTATTGCAGATCTGCCATCACTGAAGAATACTGCTCAGGTACCAACTAGTTTTGTATCTTCCCCACTTGATATCACTTCACACGAAAAATCTCCAATTCAAGCTACTGCTCCAATTACTAAAAGTTCAAATTCACGTTTACCATATATTAATTCTGATTCGCGCATGAAATCACCCATCCTAGCGAAATCTCCGGGGTCCGTCGACAATCTACCCTCGATCACTCCTCTCCAAGCGGCTAATTATAATTCTGTGCCATCTAATTCTGCAATGGATAGTTTTGAAGAGTGGATCTGTCATATGAGTGCGTTGGCTAATGTTGATAGAAATTTCAACTCGCATTGCATTTCTAGTAATAATGCCGATTCACTTATGCACTCTAAACCTGATTCTATCGGCAATTCAACTTCGTTTACTTCTGTTGCAACATCGAATTCAGGAGCTAGACAATCCGCAACAGTAACATGCCAGGATATGGGTCACAATGGCAGTACATTTGATCCTCATATATATTACGCAAAAAAAACAAAAATCCCCAAAAAGGTTTCAAAATCGTTAATTCTGATTCGCGCATGAAATCACCCATCCTAGCGAAATCTCCGGGGTCCGTCGACAATCTACCCTCGATCACTCCTCTCCAAGCGGCTAATTGTAATTCTGTGCCATCTAACTCTGCAATGGATAGTTTTGAAGAGTGGATCTGTCATATGAGTGCATTGGCTAATGTTGATAGAAATTTCAACTCGCATTGCATTTCTAGTAATAATGCCGATTCACTTATGCACTCTAAACCTAATTCCATCGGCAATTCAACCTCGTTTACTTCTGTTGCAACATCGAATTCAGGAGCTAGACAATCCGCAACAGTAACATGCCAGGATATGGGTCACAATGGCAGTACATTTGATCCTCATATATATTACGCAAAAAAAACAAAAATCCCCAAAAAGGTTTCAAAATCGAGGAATGAGGCGTTTGAAAAAAAATCTGCGAACTGTTGTTCAAGTGATGTTTCTGAATTTAATAATCCCAATGTTAACAGTCAAAATATTTTCAATAACAGGCCAATTCAAAATTCGACACTTGATAATAATATCCTTCGGCAAAAAATGTTGTTTGCTCGTCTTCCACCTCCTTCATATTCTAATAGTAGTGCCCCTATTCAAAGCACCCAGTCGTACAGGTTTCCCTATAGTAACACTACTTCTTGGACAGTCAACCAAACTTCAGGTCAACAGTTTTCTGCCCATGGGTGTAATGACTATCGGCAATATTTTTCTCAGGTCCAGAAATCGCTTGAATCTCGTTCAACTATCATGACTAGTTCCACCTATTTTCCGAGAAATCCTTTGAACACCGCCACGTATTTTCCTGCGTCAAATCTACTTCGTCAGTCCCTTGAAAGTTCCAAAGTAACTCCTTCCACAGTTACTGGATCTGTAACTACCCTCAGTAGCTACCCTAGTAACTCCCCTTATACGAGCGCATCATACGCCAGTGTCATTGTGAATCCTGCCTCTCAGAGATATTCCACAGATGGTCAAATACCCAATACGACGCATGCTAAATCACAGGCTACTTCAAACCCCCCCCTAACTGAGCCTGTCAAAAAGTTGAATGTTGGCTCCATCAGAGTGAGGAATGTGTATGAGATGACTTGAGTATATATCTACCTACTGCCTAGGTAGACCGTGCATATGAGTGCATATTGATTTAACAATCATAGCACATTCCAGGAAAGTCAAAATTTCCATAAATCTATCGTTAACTATAATTACCTGATAGTTTCATAATATATGAAAAAAAAAATGGCACTTTTTTTCGAATTTTGCAAAACATTTGTTGAGCATCATTTAAAAAATAAGTAGCCACTTGAAATGAGCAATGTATGTCATTTTTTCAAATTTGACTTTCAATGTATTCCCAACTATTCATGTTGCCATGTAATAAACAACAGGTATAACTCTTGAGGTGTTCACTTTCGTTTTTATTTTTATATATTTATTATACTATTCGGTTATTTTTCTGAGTGATCATCTCAGATACTGATAGCAATAACTATGTAATCATTTGATTAAAATTGTGATATTATGCCAAAATACGCTGCACGTTTTCTTTTGTTATTGTATAACACAATCATTATGGAAAAGTTGAATTTGTCGAATTTTTCCATTCTCAATTGGAGAATAAGCGTTTTTGTGAATAAATATAAAATTTTGTTACAATAAAATTTTTTATTATGAGGTACAATTGTTTTAATTTACAAACGACAGTTTTTTTACAGGGTTTCTCAAATGTCAGGGATCTATGAAGTGAAGAGAATTTTCAATCCTAACAATCAATATTCAATTTTTTTGTCATTTATATATGTCTCGCTTGCGTTTACGCAGTTATTTCTATTAAGTACTTTTCTTGATTTTTCACATTTTGTCTTCAATCAAGGACCGCCTGCCCGATACTGGCGATGCCCAATAGGCTGAAACAGCTGTCTACCGGTGGCTCTTAAATTGAAGTCAATATAGGAATGATCAGAATGGTACTAATTTCTTTACCCTTTGATTTTCATGAAATTGTTTTCCAGCAGCTTGACTGCATTAACCTTTCACGATTTCACATTATTTCTAGAAACATGTGGATTCGTTTTTCGATGATATTCCAGGTGAGCTTCCCAAATTTCTGCCACCGCAGCTGTCGGTTGATTGGTCAAACCGCCAACACTGACATAAAAACTTGGCAAGTTGACTTGGGTGTCACACCAATAGGTGGTTCCACTTATGTCTCGCTTGCGTTTACGCAGTTATTCCTATTAAGTACTTTTCTTGGTTTCTCACATTTCGTCGATATGCTGCTCGAAGATCGGGTTCACCGCATCCTCAGGGAAGATGACGATGACGTCATTCGTCCGGCTTCTGTGGAAGAATTGAAGGGCTACATCAAGGCTGCAAAAGCCAAGAAGGCCCCGGGGGTTGACTCAATAACTAACAAGTTATTGAAGAAGCTCCCGGAAAATTGCGTCGAGAGCCTACTGAGCATCATTAACAGCTCTCTGGCTCTGAGATACTTCCCCAGAAGGTGGAAACATGCGGTCGTCGTCATGCTCCCAAAACAGGGGCAGAACCGGCTTTTCCCGCAGAATTATCGTCCGATTAGTCTGCTCTCGTCGGCGGCTAAGCTGGCTGAAAGAGTCGTACTTCAAAGGCTCAACGAAGAAGTTGAGGACCGNACATGGTTGTTGAAAATCATATCAAAGTTATAAAATACGGTAATTATTTTGAGCTCGAGGTCCAGATACCTGACTTGTCTTGTTTTTGACAAGCTCAATTTTGTCGTTGTAATTATTTAAAGAATTGATTGGAGATGGTCATTCATAAGTCTTGTGCGATGTTTGTTCTTATTTATTTTTATGACGGAAAACATCTGCTCACATAAATATGTACTACCAAACATCCATAGAATGCGTGCTTTTTTAATTCCAGAATTTTGAAATATTGTGCATAAAATGTAATAGCGTTAACCTCTTTAAATTTTTCTTTCAGAGTACTGTCTGATTGAAGATCTGTCAACTCCATTTGCTAATGAATTGGTACCTGTGAAGCTTCGAAATTGAATGAATTGTTGAAAATTGGGAATTCCATTTCATTCTTTTTGTGGAAGTCTTCAAAACGATTGTTGAATACCGTGATAAGATTTTGCGGAAGTTGAGAATACTCACACAATTACTACTTCGTACTACAACTGGAGTCCTTCTTCTACCGTATCGCTTCGATTACTCGATTCAACAGACTCACATCGCGCCGACGCATTTTTTTTATATCGATAAGGATAGTCTAGTCTAGATGGGGTTACTGTTAAACTTCCGTTGAGGAATCAAGTGAAGTCTAAAAGCTCTAAAAAACATGATTCTTCTTTCTGCGATACATTGCGATCGCGGGCCGTAGTGATAAGGCCCGGAGGCCGGATGCGGCCCCCGGGCCTTATATGGTTACTTATATGGGCCTTATATGGTTTACCATATCCCGACTGGTAAACGGTATGTCTTGTATAGTCTATCCATTCCCAATTGGAATGGCAATAAAAATAAGAGTATAGTTATAAACTTTTCTTGCCTGTGGCCCCTAGTCGCCCAGATAGTTAGTAAACGTGCTATCTAAAATAAGTTTCATTGAGAAAAATACCTATATTCATTTGAGAAAACACAATTTTCATTTTTTTTTTTCATTAGTTTTTGGGCTCTTGTGTATAAGGATTTTTGAAGCGTCTGAATTCGAATTTGAAAACAATTTCCGTTTATATTAACCTATAATATACTTTGATTCCATTACCCCTTAAAACAGCATGCCTACGATAATAATAAGATTCACTTTAGTCAATTGAAAAGAATTTTGCATATGCACTGACGTTTCAAATATATTAGGAAATGCATCCTAAACAACAAATATATGGGTGGATTCTTGAACAGCGAGACATAATGTACATCATTTTTTGAATTTATTTAAAAGTAGGAGGTACTTCATGATAGGTTATCCATTATGCGAAAAAAGTTAAATAAAAACAACAATGTATTATGGGACGTATGGGCGATACAGCCCGTCGCCCACCAATTTGCAAGCAGGTGTTTGTTATTCAACGTGGCACCATACAGAAGCAAACACTTTTTGTCTGTACAGTGGAAGTTGACTCGAAGTTCACGCACATACAAGTTTGCGCAGAATAGTCGTAAAACGTGATATTTATTGTAGACAGGATGGAATTACTCACTTTATTGAACCCAGGCAGAGGCATGAAAGGGGCCGACAAACATGTTTAATGGATGAATTGACGCCCTGACAGTTCGTTGAGTCATTGTACTTGTGTGGAGAACAAGAAATATTCTATACTTGGCATTGTTGATGGTTTGTTTGTATTAATGACGAGGAATTCTGTATAATTATTTTAAACAAAAAACTGAAATTACAATGAAATAAAATACAAACAACAATCAAAAAACAAAAATAAAAAATTGAACTAATAACACGAGATGAAAATTAAAACAACATTTGACATTAACATTATCATTTACACCATTACAACATAACAGTATTAATTTTCATCTCGTGTAAATAGTTCAATTTTTATTTTCATGTTTTGGTTGTTGTTTGTATTTTATTTCATTGTAATTTCAGTTTTCTTGCTCAGTAGGTATAATTGTTATTATTCAGCTAATCTTTTTAATTTTACAGGTTCTTTCAGGGATTTCAAATTAATGTATATCATATTACTTAATGGAAGTCCGAACTAAAATAATGCACCACGAAGCATTGTCAACCACCTTCAAACAAACATTGAAAAAACTTCAAATGAAACAAACACTATGACAATTCACAAATATATAATTTCTAAAACGATAAAAATAAAAACAACAATAAAAATTAATTGGCGCTCCGGGGCGAATACATTGATTCCAGTGGCGCATTTGCTTTTTCAGCTGCAGGAAAACCGGGAAAAACATGCAGCACCACATCATCTGAAGATCTTGATCTGCCAATGTCCTCTCTCTCATAAAAAAAAATGTAGGGTGTCTCCAGAGGCTCCAATATATTCAATACATCGCCAGAACACTTCGTGACACGACTATCGTCAAACTCAAACCACTCCCTTTCGTCTTTGACCAAGGCGTAATAATGTCCAAAGTCAACGCCAGAACCACAGTGAACAATGACTGCATGAATATTATAATAGTGATCTGCTAGATTGAAATGTTCTTCTATTTCGAACCTTCGAAAGAGTTTCTTGCTTCCGTCAAAGGTTGAGTCTTGTTTGAAGAATATCAGTGTTATTATTAGATTGACTGGTGCCTCAGCTATACTTGTTTCCTTATAATAGTCAGTTAGTTTGGCGCATGCTTGGCAATACAGTTATTTTAATTTTTTCCTGATTTAACGTTTTTTTTCAGCAACTCTTTCAGTGAAACTCAATATGGCTTCTGAAATAAAATGACTTGTAACTAAGGGTTAAATACATTAATAGTTCAGAATGTGAGAGGAAGAAATTTTGAACGGTTCGGTCTAAAAGACCCAGTAGTGTTACTATCCCCACTTTTTTGTAATAAATCACAGCGCGCATGATCGAATCGTAACGGATAGTTTTTGGATGCGCCGTGAATTGCCACGATAATCGGTGACGTTTTCAGGAGGTTTGTTCCAACCAAGGTTTTTGTATCATTCCGAAACCGTAAACTGCATCGTTAAATTAACTTAATAAGCGCATGTGCGTACTGTGTACTGCAATTTTAGTAAGAATTTCTAAACCAGGGTTGGAACGGTTTAGGTAACACTTTGTAACTGGCATTATATTCTTCAAAAGATTTTTGACTTTTTGAGGTTGGTGCATATTAATGCCAGATATATTTTATTTATTTTATTGTTGATTCTTAATTGAGATGAATGGAATAAATGTAACAGATGGTAAGTTTACATAAATAGTTAACATTTTCAACTATAAATTCATGTAATTTTAATTTCTTATCTTCATTCGAAGAAGATAATCCTGAATAGTAATATCGTTGCTCATATTTAACAAGATCACAGAACAAAATCAACAATAACACAAAATATCGAAATAACTACCATAAACAAAAATTAACCATAAACAAACCACTAACAACAAAGTCAAAAAAGCATGACCATATGAAGAACAAAGATGAAAGAAGAGAATGAATGAACTGCCCAAGTCAAACCAAGCGATTTCCACTCGAAGGCAAGTATCAAAATACGATATCGAAATTGTTTCTGAATTATACACTTTTTGGTTGGATGCTTAACGGACGGTACCAATTATCGTCAACTTTTGGTTAGAACAGCTTTTGCGCATTTGATGTAACCAAATGTAACGGGTTGGAACAAACCTATGTCTAAAATTTTTCATGTAATTCACCTCTTTTGGCATATCAGACTGACAATGTTTCGCTTGTGGAATCATGATGAGAATTCTTTCACATATATTTGTGGTTATTTCATAAAAATCTTCAGAAAAGCACAAGTGTAATCTATGTTTAGAAATTGAAAAAGAAAACGGAAAATATCTATTCCATTTTAGAGCATATCAAAATTCTAATCAGGATATATTTAGAAATTTACTGAATTCACAACCTTTATAAATATAATTCTCTGCTTTCGTGCATACTACCTTAATATTTATAGTTTGAGTATTATAATTGTAATATGAGCATTGATTCAATTGTTGATAACTCTTTAACATGTTATTTTG